TTTTAACACCCAGGTGCTAAACCTATTGAAAGCAACATAGCGTGACTAATTATATCTCTCTGTAGGCTAGTCGGTACCATAACTCATCTCTGTCAATCAAAGTCCATTCCCCTAAATCTCTCCGACTTGCCTCCACAGCTCTATTTCTGTGACCCTTCATTACAGTAACAGACTCGCTGACTCTTCTGCCCACAGAAAAATCACCATCGCTATACCTGGCGGATGGTGAGTCACAGCTGCCCAGTGAGAGCCATGGTACATGACCAGGAAGGTCAACCGCTTTAAGATGGTCTTCACTGGCATATGCTTGGTCAAAACTTGGAGGACTCGAATGCGACGAACGTCAAAGATATACATTATGTTAGATATTTTAAAAAGAAAGAAATGAATGAGCCTGTGCTAAAGGGTCTGCATTTTTCCCTAGAACTTTTGAACACGCGAGTTTCCATGGATGGGAGATGTGTCAAAAGAGTGAGCACCCCACCGGAGTCTTGGTTTCAGAGATGGTAGGGTGGCAGCTGGATTCTTAGGAACCCCCAAAAGGTGAGCTTGACATGAATCTCTGATAAAAATTCTGATATACATAATTGAGCAGATGGTCTGCGATTATTTGAAAAGCACACATTTGTGGGGGTGGGGGGGGGCACCCAAAGCAACAAAAGCGATAAAGTATTTTAAATCCGACTCATTTGTAACAGATGTACAGCGTGACAGATCAGGAGAAATCCATGGAAGAGCATTTATAGGTTTTTGGGACTGACAAAACTTCTCCTGTCTCCGTGGATAAATGGGAGAGATGCCTAGAAAATGACAGAAATAAACTTGCACGATGCTTGATCCGTTTCACCAAGGACGTGGGAGGAGACACAAAAAGCACACGTCTCCTTTCTAGCCAAGCAAGTAGCGAGTCGCTGTGAAATACCAGAACCCAGAAACACTGAGGATCGGTGGCACAAGCGACCACTGCCATCCTCATCTGCACCTCAAAATCCTTCGAGAAGCTGTGTGGTGTACGGGAGGGCACAGCCAGTGGCGTGGGGGGAAATCCTACTTGGCCAGCAGCCGCAGTATAATCGTTGGTTAAAAACAACAACAACAAACTTTACCTACTGAAGCCTCCCTGTCCTCATCTGGGGACATCTTATCTTTCCAACCACCAGGTGCCATCAAGTCATCTTGGCTGCAAGACAACCGCATGTGTGGCAGAGTAACACGGGGCCTCGCGGGCTTTTTTATTGGCTGATCTTGTGGCTATAGGTGTCCGAGGTGTGTCTGGGGAGATTTGCACCTGGAAACCTTTTGGTTTCCAGCCAACTGTCTGCATTATCTAGTGACGACTTCTAGCTATTCGTGAGGACTTGTTCACAAAACATCTAGCAGAGTGTCTGCTACACACTAAGCTTCATGGGTGACTCAACCCCGAGAGGGATCGTTCATGCATAAGGACCGAGAGGAACATGGAACACAGACACAGCGAACACGCCCACAGAGGCTGCCATAAAAGACTTAACCCCTAAAAAGAAATTCTGTCCTGAAAAGATAACGGCCAGCATGTAGATCCCCAAGCAGAAAACCTGGGTTCCGTAGAAAACAAATAGAGTTTTGAGAATTTGCCGCCTTCCGGCCCACGTCTGCCCTGGCTACTCCAGAGGCCATTCTCAGACTATATGAGACGCTCGGTTCACACTGGGGACTGGCAGTCTGTCCTGGTTAGCTCTTACTTGAACACAAAAAAAGTTAAGTTCATTGACAGAGTGACATGGGCCAAAGCACAAGGGAGAAATACCAAACAAGGGCTAAGAGAAGGGAAATCTAGCAACCATGAGATGTAGTGAGTGATTCAAAGAACTGGGTCCTGTTGGCTTAAAGGGACATCTCCTTTTTCTTTCTGTTTTTCTCCAAGTAGGTAAAGCAACATTTGAGTCAACAAAGTTGTACTGGGAAGACATGGAAACATGGATGGATACCAGCATGAAGGTTCAAGAGGGTTGAGCGGAGGGCCTGATGTGAGACACTAACCCGTGAGGCAACGGCCCTTCCTATCCAGTCGTGTACATCTTGTTCCCAAACCATCTAGAAGGGCACGCACCACGGAATGACTGCTGATCTACCCCGGGGGGTTTGGCTGCCTCTGAAACACTGGTTAAAGAAAGGGGTTAGCCTGGTGGGACCTTGCTTCTCAGGCCGCTCAATGGAACATTTTACATCCGCCTGCTTTCCGTGATTCCTGGACATTGAAAATGCGCCCCGAAATGAATGACTTGGAGCACTCAGAGCAATCTCAGGCCGTAGGAGCTTCAGCGTGCATATACCTCCCTCTCTCGTGGACCCCAAAGCAGCGGGCTGTCGCAAGCACTTACCGCCAGGTACTGCGGGGTAAGTCCGCCCAGACCTGTCAGGTTCCCCCAGGTGGCAGTGTTGAGCTGCTGCATCTGCTGTGCCAGCTGCTGCTGGAGGCGCCTTTGTTCTTTGTCCTTCTGAGTGTCAGCGAACTTCACCACGATCGGTGAAGAGCAGCCCTGCGGTCAGACACATTGGAAAGCGAAGAGGGAAGTTACAGCCGGGTTGGATCCCGTCAGGAGACTCAGTCAGCACCGGACCTATCTTTGTTATGGACCGGAATTGTTTAGAAGTGGTTTCTTCTTCTGTGAATGCTACCATCCACAGAAAAGTCCAGAAACTGCCTGTGGGGATTGCTTGGCTGGTTGGCCTCTCCTTCTTTCCATGTTATCTTCCTTCAACCTTTCTAGGACCTCCTTAAAGACAAGACACTGTGTCACTGCTCTGTCATTAAGCTTCATGGTTTGCTGGGCTTTATGAGAATAGCTTGTGTCCGTGTGTCTGCCTGTTTCCACACAAGAGCAGAGGGTCAAATTGTAATGGGAATAAAAACTCTCTTATGTATTCTTTTTTTTCCCATTCTTTCCAATGTTGAGTTATGAATTGTTGAACTTTGGAGCGGATGGGAATTGTATCAATCCAGTAATAATTGGGAGTTAAGAGCTGCATATG